GAATGATATAAAGTTTAACAATAAATTAGTTGGAGTGTTAAAATCTTGAGTATATGTTATGACAAAACAAAGTTGGTTTTAAAAACACAAGCAAGTACTCCATTACATCAAATTATTAATGTCAGCATAACTGATTGTAAAATTTTCAATGTAGAGTATAAGGTACATGTACAGCTTACCTTGTCTCCACAATTCTTATCAGCGTTTTCTTTGATCAGGAAGGAAATTGACTGAACCTTGTTCCTAGAAGCTGCTACATGCAATGGTGTCCAGTTACCCTAATAATAAGTAATAGCATGCATGTGTGATTGTGTTAATCCACTTATAGTTACCACATTGGGATTGTTCCAATTAATATTTGCTCCCCTGGATAGGGCAAGCTTCATTCCCTCTATATTCCCATCCCTAGCAGCATTGTATAATTGCTTCCCCTAAAGAAAGTAAAAATATAGCATTGTCCATATAATCATAGTCGGCATGGTCACACCCAGACTATAGCATTATAGTGAACTAGGAGAAATAGGATATCATTGACAAATAGGGGGATCAAAAGTCTAACAGAGTTACCATTATTTTATTGACAAATGAAAAGCAATAGCCTTGCTGGATCTTTGATCTACCGTATACATGTACGCCATATATTTCGTGGGTATAATTTTGTAATTTGGCTGCATTTTTGTATTTGTGAATAAAATTTCGCAATTTCAATGTAAGTACCACACCTACTATACAATCAGCACACTATTTTGTGGATTTTAATATCGCAGATTTTTTTCAAAATGTGAAAATTGCAAAATTTAATCCCCAAAAAAATATATTCGCATATGATTTTTCAGGTGACTTTTTGCTTAGTTCAACTGAAATTAAATTTGGCAATTAGACAAATAGAGAAAATGCATGCAGAAACTAAATATGTGTTTATCGAAAACTATTTTATTAATTATTATTGCTGAACATGGTCATTTTATAAAGCGATAACACTCAACATTTTTGACCACATAATCGGTTCACATTCATTTTAATTTCACTGAGTATTGTACCAATACATCCCTCCACTTATAGGCTAGCATTTGGTCTCAGTACTGAATCATTGCAAGCATCTGGTTAGACCATTTCTATCTTTAGGAGCTAGGAAGCCTGTACATAGTAGTCTTGCTAGTAGGACGGCCTGACATGCATCATGGACAATTAGTTCACTTAACTGTACATGTAGATCTACTGCATTCGGCTTTTAAAACTTGCATTGCCAACCCACATCATTTTGTGTTTTTTTCATGGAATTATACACGCATTAATACAGGTCATAATAACTAATAATTTCATGAAAATAGGAAACCACAATAAATAGAGGATATGCGTGCTAAGTATATTCATTGCAAAATAAATGTATTCATTGCATACCGTAATAACTTTCAAGAAAAAAATTTAGTTTGTTGGACATCAACTTTCCATTGGCAGCAATGGAGAAAAGATAGAAAAAGGCTTGGTACCAGAAAACCGCTCTGTATTTCTTGATAGCAATCTTTCAGGTGACTACTAGACCCTATTAGATCCTCAGGATGCTTTCTAAACTTCCGAAAAAGGCCTCAAGAAGGTAGCAAGGCAAGAAAATGTGTTTTCCCCCATTGAACTCTTAATAAACTTGACGTCCAACATGGCGGCCAATTTACTGTGTGGGTTGGATATACAGTACTTAAAAGCTATGAATATACTTAGCACGCATATCCTCTATACTGAGCTTTCCACTCGTCACAACTCCAGGTGTAGTCTCGCCACTACTCCAGGTGGAAAGGTATAAGTTATTGCAAATAAAAAGAAAAAATCTATTTATTGGTTTAAAACTCACAGGAGTCAAACTATCCGTCATTTCTAGTACCCAAACGAGCTACTAAACTTCTACAGAGTTCTTGAGGTTTCTTGGCTCACGTGATGCCCTACATGTACTTCGACCTTTAATAATCTTGCTGACATCTCGGCTGACATCAATCATCTTGCATTAGATTTAATAGTAAAGTATAATTAAAATGAACTATAATATATTTACCTCTATCACTGTTAATGAACAACTGTTGTAAGATAAAGATGCAGTCCAATTCAGCAATTCCAATTCCAATATAAAGGAGCACAAGTTGCAAAAGGGAGTGGCTCATTACAAGCCCCGCCCCTCCTTGATTAAAATTGATTTTTGCCAATTCTTTGCCATAGAAAAGATACTGAGAGGACATTGATGTCTTTGCTGTCAGAATTAGGAAAAATGAGAAATTAAAAATATTAATCTAAAGAAGTAAGGGATAGTACAGACACTAAGCTACATGATATTAGTGATTTATTATATTTAATACTTTGTTTGTCATTGAATAAAGTTTTTTATGGAAGGGCATGTTGTAACAATCAAGTTTTGACCATATTGCACTCCCACCCCCTGAAAGGAATCTGTTATAGTACTGGGTACAGTAGGGCCCCTTTTTTCGAGGGCTATAAATTTAGCGGATATATACATTGTAATTTGCTGTATTAAATTTTGAATTTCCCACACCCATGTATAATTAATTCGAGGAATTTATTTTTGCGAATAGTAACAAAATCCGTGAACTATATAGCCCTCAAAAAAGGCTCCCTATAGTTTGTTCATTGTATTTCATCAAAGCCGTATTCTTCATTTTTATTTCATTTTCTCATTTTTCTGATGGATAGATGCATGTTCTTATATGTTATATATTGGATGTTATGTTCTTATGAATGTTTAATATATTTTAAATGACATTAATTGTAAAATTGTAATGATAAATGTGTACAATAATGTACAGTACTTTGTGTGTTTAATAATAAATTTACACTGTTATATATTCTGCAGTTGATGAATACTGTACTGAAGGTAAAGCTCTGTGGTCAGTATCTGATGATGGACAATTAAGAATATTTGACATTAGAAATAAAACAATGGTAAGAGGAAGGAATGAGAGAAAAGAGGAGAGAGCATACATGTAATTCATTGTACAATCAAAATCGGATTTTTACAAATTTCCCTGTACTATAGTATATAGGGTCATTGGTAAAATTTTGCCAAAATGAAATGAAGAAAATTCTTCATTTTCATTACATTTCCTGATGCATATACATGTACTTATGTTGTGTAGAAAGTTTGAGAACATTCCAATTAAAATTAGATTTTTTACGAATTTTTAAAGTTACTCAAAAATTGGGCAAAAGTCCCTGTACTATAGTACAGAGTCATTAGCCGAATTTCACCAAAAATGAAAAGGAGAAAGTTCTCCATTTTTATTACATTTCCTGATGCATATACATGTACTTATGATATGTAGAAAGTTTGAGCTGATTCCAATTAAATTTTGAATTTTTACGAATTTTTAAAATTGGTCAAAAATTAGGCCAA